AAAAAAAAAAAAAAAAAAAACATATTCATCTTATTATGTAAAATGTTCATCTTAATTTTTAACATGTTTAATGAATTATGCAACATGTTTATCTTAGTATGTAACATGTTCATCTTAATATATAACATATTCATCTTCTTATATAACATATTCATCTTATTTTTAACATATTATTCAACTTTATACTTACATTGGTATGTTCCATTTTTCAGCTTATTGTCTCAGTTTATCATGAGACCCATTACTACCTCTACTGTTTGGACTTTGAGAATCAAAACTAGGCATTCTAGATAACTTGGATACAGTGACTAGTGGAGAAGTGCCATTGATTAACAAGTATGGCTCAAGTCAACTAAAGGATTTTTTTGGCATTGAGATGGAGGCGGGATAAATGAATTTTTCGCCTTCAATATCATGCCAAGGTTTCTTTGACTTGCACTTTTTTACCGCCTTTTACCTTTCCTCTTACCTACTCTGTGGGGGTTAGGACAAAAATATTTAAATGAAATTCACACGCCTATTTAGGAAGAGTGTTTCATCCAACGCCCTGGCATACCTAGGCACACCTAATTATTAGTGTAGGGACTAGTTAGCTTAGTAAAAGCATTGTTAATGATTTTATGTTATTTCTTGTCTTGATTTTTTAATTTTTGTATATTTCTTGTATGGTGTCTTTAAGTTCTTAAGACGATCTGTGTGTGACTAGGCATGTCAATAAAACCCACAAAGTCGGGTTATACTCGTATTTTCGAGTTTGGGTAGAATTATGTTACTCGAACCTCGGGTTGGGTTGGGTGCGGGTATAATAGAACAACTCGTTAACCGACTTGATTATTCTACCCGTTTACCCGCAAGCAATATATATATATATATATATATATATATATATATATATATTATTCATTATAATTTTGGTTAATGGTTAAATTTTATTTTATTGCTTATGATTTTTTTTATCAATTTTGTTAATTGTACAATAAAAATTATGTACTTAATTTTTAAATATTATATTGTTAACTAGACTATAAAAGATAGTATTATATCTCATTATTTATTCTAAAAAATTATCGTTTTTTCTTGTCAAACTTAGTTAATAAAATTTCGTTACATTAAAATTTATTGTGAAATTATTTTATTTCATCTTTTCACATAAAGCGGGTCGAGTCGGGTTGGGACTGGATAATGCCCAAATTTAAGAACTCGGGTTATCCGATAACCCGAGGAGAACCCGCTAACACCCCCGGGTAAAACCCAATTACCTGAACCTGAAAATCACTAGCCAAGTAACGGGTCGGGTTTGGGTAGGATAAACTATATGCGGGTCGGGTATAGGTTTGCCAAAGCCTGCCTCCAACCCGACTCATTTACATCCCTATGTGTGACTGGGGAAAATGTGTTAACTTACAATAATTTGAATGTTGTGCGACCTAATGGTGTAGTAGTGGAAGTTGGAACCTGAGATTAATTCTGGTTTTTAGAAAAAATGAGGGCTTTGGGTTATGTTGTAACACAAATTCTTGTGTTAGGCGGATTGGTTCGCCATATATTTCTAACATACTTTTGAACAAAAACAACCGCATGTACCGTGAAATGTTGTAGTTTTTTCGAAGTAGGTCATTTATTTATACATAAAAGTATGTATATCTTTTGAAAAAATATGATTGTCTAAACGTTGGAACATTATTACTTTCAAGATCCAAAGAACTAGGCTTACTCAGCATAGCCC